TTTCCCGATCAGCTTTACTAGGAACGAACTCCTGGACATCAGAAATAGCACACCAAATAACTTTCTGCCGACATTTGAGCATTCAGATGTTTTACTGGACATTTTAGTCGGAGGAGCTGCGTTCCTATAACAATATCACATTAATTAAAAAAAAAAAAAAACACTAAATGAGATTAAGTCTGTTAAATGTATTAACTCTATTTCAGATATCATTCAAGCACACACACACACCTCTGTTTCAATAATAAAAAAAAAATAATAATAATCTGTACTAATAATAATCAAAAACTAACCCGAACAGCAAATTAATAATAATATTTTAATAAAAATATAATAAATTGATTTTAAATTGAATTGATTTTCCCCAAAAAGAGGTTTTTGTCATATTTAGCTCACTTTTATGGATACATTTGTACATCTAAGTATGAATAAGTAAACCCACACACACTCTTGCCTCCTCTCACACACTTACGACATATTGCCTGGCCTCGAAAGCATATGTAGGCCGACCGAGAGTCCTCTTCATGATTTCTTTATTATAATAGAGAGACTGGGCAGACTGCAGCAAAGAATAAACCCTAATTAAACACACACACACTCACGCATAACTATACAAACACACACTCGCTTGCACACACCATCACTCTACAAACACACTTTAATACAAAAATATACAATAAAAACATTTATACACTAGAACAAACACACATACACACATTTGTGTCAATAAACCTGCATACATATATAATTCAAACACACACACACACACCTAACTGACTATCAGGCACCAAAACAAACTCACAGACACACTGATATCATTCTTCAAGATGTTCACTGATTATTATAGTCTTACATAATAAATAAGTATGTGACATGCTCTAGTGTGTATATTACAGTCTACTAGAGTAGCCAGCAAAAAATAACATACATTATTAAAACAAATCCAACTTCTTCAATAACAATGCTCTAAAACACTACCACTGAAGTTTGGGGTCAGTAAGACTTTTTCATGTTTTTGAAAGAAGTCCCTTATATGTTCACCAAGGCTGCATTTATTTTATTAAAAATACAGAAAAAATAGTAATATTGTCAACTATTATTACAATTTAAAATAACTGTCTTCTATTTGAATATATTGCCAAATGTAATTTATTCCTGTGATGCAAAGCATATATCAATTATCAATGAAGGCTGGTGTACAGACGTGACAGTTTTAAAGAAGATGTGCTGCCCAAATTTCTTTTCATTATTCATTAACTGTAAGCCTTTTTATTCACCGCGGGAGTTTTCCTCGTTTATTCTGGTGAGTGTGTATATTCCTCCTGACGCGCGTGTGAGCGCCGCGCTAGAACTGTTGGCCGATCAAATTACACACACAGAGCAGCGTTATCCGGACTCTTTCATTATCGTTCTCGGTGATTTTAATAAAGCTAATCTCACCCGTGAACTGCCTAAATATAGACAGCACATCACATGCCCCACCAGAGACAGCAATATACTGGACCACTGCTACACTGTTTTAAAGGATGCATACCACTCTGTCCCCCGAGCTGCACTGGGACTCTCTGATCACTGTTTGGTTCATCTTCTACCAGCCTACAGGCAGAAACTCAAATCTGCTAAGCCTGTAGTGAACACTGTAAAAAAATGGACTGCTGAAGCAGAGCAGGATTTACAGGCATGCTTCGAACTTACTGATTGGAGTGTTTTTGAGGCTGCAGCTACTGATCTGGATGAGCTTACATCCGTTTCTGTGAGGACATGTGTGTTCCTACCAGGACTTATTTAACATTTAACAACGACAAACCATGGTTCAGTGCAAAACTCAAACATCTTCGCCAGGCCAAAGAGGACGCCTACAGAAGTGGGGACAAAGACTTGTACAAACAGGCCAAATACACACTAAATAGGGAGATAAGAGTGGCAAAGTTAAACTACTCTGAAAAGCTAAAAAAACAGCTTTCAAGTAATGACTCTACATCAGTGTGGAAAGGCCTGAAAGCCATCACCCGCTACAAGACCCCATCCCCCAGCACTGAGGCCAATCAACAACTGGCTGAAGACCTGAACGAGTTCTACTGCAGGTTTGAAAAGCAAAAGCCTGGTCTGACACCCCACACCCACTCCGACCGTCTCACAGCACAGCCATCAACACCCTCCCCCTCCATCCCCCCTACTGTTTCTCATCCTGCACTCAAGATCTGTGAAGAGGATGTATGCAAAGTCTTCAGAAAGCAGAAGATAAGGAAAGCCAAAGGCCCAGACGGTGTCTCTCCAGCCTGCCTCAAAGCCTGTGCTGTCCAGCTATCATCCATCTTCACATTGATCTTCAACAGATCCCTGGAGCTGTGTGTAGTCCCCTCCTGCTTCAAACGTTCCACCATCATCCCTGTACCCAAGAAACCAAAAATCACAGGACTTAATGACTACAGACCTGTTGCTTTAACATCTGTGGTCATGAAGGCATTTGAGAGACTGGTGTTGGCCTACTTGAAGGACATTACTGGATCCTTGCTGGACCCCCTGCAGTTTGCTTACCGAGCAAACAGGTCTGTGGATGATGCAGTCAATATGGGATTGCACTACATCCTCCAACATCTGGACAAACCAGGGACTTATGCAAGGATCTTGTTTGTGGACTTCAGCTCCGCTTTCAACACCATCATCCCGGACACCCTTCAGAATAAACTGACCCAGCTCTCTGTGCCCACCTTCATCTGTCAATGGATCACCAGCTTTCTGACAGACAGGCAGCAGCTAGTGAGGCTGGGAAAACTCACATCCAACACAGGCCAAAGAGGACGCCTACAGGAGTGGGGACAAAGACTTGTACAAACAGGCCAAATACACACTGAATAGGGAGATAAGAGTGGCAAAGTTAAACTACTCTGAAAAGCTAAAAAAACAGCTTTCAAGTAATGACTCTACATCAGTGTGGAAAGGCCTGAAAGCCATCACCCGCTACAAGACCCCATCCCCCAGCACTGAGGCCAATCAACAACTGGCTGAAGACCTGAACGAGTTTTACTGCAGGTTTGAAAAGCAAAAGCCTGGTCTGACACCCCACACCCACTCCGACCGTCTCACAGCACAGCCATCAACACCCTCCCCCTCCATCCCCCCTATTTTTTCTCATCCTGCACTCAAGATCTGTGAAAAGGATGTATGCAAAGTCTTCAGAAAGCAGAAGATAAGGAAACTGCGTTCTGTAATTCATTTCCGTAATTCATTCTACATCCTTAATTATTGCCTCTTTCTCAAGTATTATGTAAATACATATGCATATCTCTTTATTTATACAGTTCTATATAGAGTAAATGATGAACAAATCTGTACATAAATCTACTGTTCCGGATTCATACACATTTATTGTTAAGTTCTACTATTTAAATGTTTTTTTTGTTTTGTTTTTTTCTGTTCTCATGTCAGATGTGTATGTAAAAAACCAAAACAAATTCATCGTGTGTTTGCACACCTGGCGAATAAAGCTAATTCTGATTCTGATTCTGATTCTGATTCTGATTAAAGACGTCTATCAGATGTTTGTACACAGCAGATGCTTTCCAGATGAAGAGATCTTTAACAGACATCTCGCAGACGTTCTCTCTGGGTAGCATTTAACACACTGTGTCCGAGGACTGTGTAGCATGAAATATACTTAAAGGGATAGTTCACCCCTAAATAAAAATTCATAATTTATTCACCATCATGTCATGCATCCAAACCTGTATGACCTTCAGTGGAACACAAAAACTATATTTTTTGAAAAATGTATTTTTCGTCATACAGTTAAAGCCAATGGGGTCCAAATGGCTTTGTGGTGAAATTGGGCCCAAACAGAATTAATATAAAATTTAATTGAAATTAGGCCTACTGTTATTATTTTAACAGTACAGTCAGTCCTAACTGACTAGGTTTAAAACATGCTTGGGAAAAAAAAACGAACCAGTGTAAAAAATGAGTCAAGGCCCAAGTCTGCAGGCGTTTAGGTAAAGTGTGGCCTGATTTAGAAACTCACGATTACACAGAAGAGGGTGGATGTAGTAACAAAAGGCATTCCATTGTAATCTGAGTGGTGTTAAGGTGCGGTCATATTAGCGAAATGTTAAATAAATAAATAAATAAAATTTGCGTACAAAAATAGTGTCGCGATGTATGAATCACAGCTCACACAGAGGTCTTTTTAAAACCAAGAGATGAATGAACAGCTTGAACGAGCGAAGTCTGCGTGGGGAAGTTTGTCTCACCCACGCGAAACTGATAGGCCTATCTGTCGGAATGACTGGATTTCACCCGAGACATTTCACCAAACAACTATGTGAACGCACCTTTATTGTAGTAATTATACAACATGCTGTAGGCTATGTAGTTCAAGGACCTTCCTCTTTATATAGTACAACGTACACAACAGCTGACGTACTTTTTATTACGATCACAATAAACCAGGCCTTGAGTCTCTTAAGATAACATTCAGGACGAATAACAAAAATGCTAGTTTGAATGTTAAATGGCTATATATAATCACATTATTTTTTTTAATGTTTAAACTTTCTTATTGTTTTTCACATTCACATAACACAAATCTCTATAGCAACACTAAAATGCAATAGGCTATGGCGTTTTAAACTGGGGAAATTTTAACAGTAAATATTACAACAATTTAAAACAACTGTTTTATGTTTGCATATATTTTAAAATATTTTTCCCCCCCTGTGATTCAAAGCTGAATTTTCAGCATCTCCAATTTTCAGTGTCACATGATCCTTCAGAAATCCTTCTAATATGCTGCTTTGCTCAAGAAAAGTATTTTAAGGCCAATGGATCACTAAATTTAAAGGTCTTGCATCAGCAGCCTTTACCTTAAACCGGGTATGATGATGCAAGAAGGCGAATGAGTGGAACGTCGCTTTTATTTTCGAAAACGACCCGCTTTGCTTTCGGGACTCACTGAGCGCGATGAACGCGCCTCCTACTGCGTGACGCGTCTGTGACGCTTCCGTGTGTATAAAACAGCCGAGAAACACCCAGCCGCTGGAAACTACCAAGCAGTGGAACAGCGTAAACACCTGAGATCATGGCAGCGATGCAGGGGTAAGATGATGAAATTATTATCATGATTGTAAAATATAGACTGTGTCTCAAGACCAAGACGCGTTTTCACAGGCCGCTGAGCGAAGCGCAAGAAGTAGAGCTTGAACCTGACGCGCCGCGATAAAAACGCGACGCGCAGGGTCGCTGTAAAGCAAGCAAACAAAACATAAACGTCCGTTTGCTGCATATTTAAAGAATGGAAAAAAGTCTGTGTATTTGAATATCAGCTGAGCTAATTCGGAATTCGCTTATGCACAACTATGCAGTCTATAGGTAGGCAGCAAGGTTTTGAGAAAATATGGTGGTGCATGTGATGCAATTTAATGTTACATCAATATTACATTAAAATGTATTTATGTAAAAAGCTTTCATTCTGTAAATAAATTTCATGAATATAAGAAAACAAGCTTTCAGTGCAGCAGCATGTGATGACTACATAAGTGAATATCTGATTCACTATCTATTATGATCTATTTGAACCCCTTTTTTTCTTCCTCAAGAAGTGCAATTGGCAAACCTCAGTTTGGCCCATGGCTCATAGAGCAGGTGGAAAGTGGGACATATGAGGGATTGCGCATGATAGGCAATGACATATTTCGGATCCCCTGGAAACACAACTCCCGAAAAGACCTTGGGGACGACGATGTTAAAATATTTAAGGTAACTTCATCCTTGCGTCACAATCCCCTTTGGCATCTTTTCACTTCTGCATGAATGATTCATGCGGGATATAGCTGGAGGAGGGGCGGGATTCCCAAAGGAGGGCCTAACTCTTGAGTGGAAGCCCCGCCCCTTTTGACCTTAAAAGTTTGATATTGCACGCCATTCACACCTGATGCAATTTTGGTGTTTTACAGGCATGGGCTGTGGTCAGTGGGAAGATCAACGAGCACCCTAACGACAAAGCGAAATGGAAGACAAATTTCCGTTGTGCACTTCATAGTCTAAAAAACTTCGAGATGTTAGAGGATCACTCCAAAGATCAGGACGACCAACACAAAGTCTATCGCATCATCCGTCCTCAAAGTGAGTTAAACTGCTCAATCTGCACTTGTCATGGGAAAATGAGTTGATTTATAAAGCCCTGGCTTATCTCGTTCTTCAGACCACCAAGAGATCCAGAATGTAGAGCCAGTTCAACTTCCATTCATTCCTCATCTCTACAGTGCATCTAATGACATATCTGAAGAAATGGAGGTAAGGCCTAGATTATGATTGGCTGTAGACATGATCATATGTATATCATAAAAAGAATTATTTAAAAAAAAAAAAATTAAATATATAATAAAATATATATTTTGTCTAATACAGCAGGAATTGCTCAACCAGGTGGAGACAATGGATCTAAGTGAACAACATGCAGGTAGAATCACTATGATGGCTATATTTAGGGTTAGCAATTCAAACAATCCATGATTTTGCAACCAACATTTAAGGTGTGGTCACATTTACTGTTGCCCTGTGAAATCCAGAATCTGCACAATCCAATGCATCATCAGCTGAAAAAAAAGTGTTTGTTAAAGTGATAGCAATAATATCGTTTCTTTGTGATTGTATTGTTATAGTTGTGGTGTCACCTTTACTATTCTTTTACATTTAAAAACGATTTTTAAGACTTTATCTTTATTATTATCATTATAGTATTAATACTTAAAACATTTTGCAGGGAAACCCAGTCATTTCGGAATCTGCAATCGAGTCCATTAGGAATCCACACAATTAAGAATTTTGCATGAGGGCAAAAAAGTTCTCGCTTATCTTTGCTATTCTTTTAAATTTAGAACAGCCTTTAAGAATATATCGTCATACTATTAATATTTAACATTTTCTTGGGTGAAATCCAGTCATTTCGCTATGAATCCACACAATCCTAAGGGTCATCAGCTGAAAAAAATACATAAATAAATCGTTGTGAAAGTGATTTGAATAATATTGTGCTTTTGTGACGGTATTGTTATTGTTGTGGCGTCACCTTTACTGTTCTTTTAAATTTATTTACTATTATTTTAATTATTGTGGGTGAAATCCAGTCATTTCGCTATGAATCCTCGCAATCAGAACAGAAGGCTGCTTGGTTCAAAAACAAACAAAAACTGATTTCCTCGTGAGTGGCGCTTCATGCATTGACAACGGACTTTTTTTGCCAGCAAAATTTCACAGAAATTTCGCCAACGTGACCACACCTTTCAAATCCGCACAGGAACCAAAGCAACCTTATGGCAATACTCTAAAAATCAACCAGAAAACTGTAGCAACACCTTGGCAACTAGCCATAACACTCTGCACATGCAAACACCAATCAACTCACACAACATTATATTAGCAAGTTTCGTTCAATGGCAGGAAGTGAGGTAGATGGATTGGCTTTTGTTATGCCATATTCACAATATGCTAATATACAATATAATTTATATTCACAGAATCCCATGCATGGAACAACGGTTCCCAACAAATCATTCCGACCACCTCAAGCAACTACTATGAGACTCCCTACTCTGATGTTCCATGCATGCCGAATAACACACCTCCCCCAGACCAGCTGCCCTACAATACAGGTAACACGACAGTTTTACACAACGGTTTATTCAACCCTGAAAAATCGTAACTATTTTACGAGTTGGCTCGATTGCATGATTTGATTCATACGAAAATGTGCGATTTTAAGAATAAAAGCAAGCATTAAGGTCCACCCCTAAACCTAAAGCCCAAAGTATACTTTGGTTTTGGCGTACGCGAGGGTCTGTGTACAGTGTGCATGATGCAAATTTCGTCACCAGAGTAGTATGCGCACCACCCAATTTTTGTAAATAACTTTGTACGCACAGGTCGCACCTGCGCATTGTATTTGTTTTGCACTAATCAGTTGTTCCACAAGGTGACAAAATTGGCCCGGGCCGTTGTTTCACAGTAGAAAATGAAACTAAAAAGATGGAACAACAACAAAATAGCGGAGACTGCAACAACAGACGGGCACATTGACAAGCACTTGTGTGAGGCGGTTATAAGAGAGCCGCAACTAGTTTAAAAGAGTACAGACATTTTTATCGGTCATAACTTCTGGAGTAAAATAGCGCAGACACTGGACAAAGAAGCTTTCAATCAAAAGGCCATAAGCAGATTGTACAAAAACATACAAATGAGATCATGATTTCATATAAACTCGCCACAAGTTCGTTAAAACATAAAATAGTTACGAATAGCCTTGAGAGGGTGTTGGTTGTAGTTGAACCATTGATATTGTCTGTATATTGAACATTGCATATGTAATATGACATCTCTAAAGGCCATATCGTTCTCACATCATAAACGATAACTATAACGATAACTATATTAGTGTCCAACCCGATAACATTGTTTATTTAAAGCATGCGCAAAAGTTTTGTTGTCTGCCGCTTTAAATACTCAAGCTCTTTATGGTTCGATGGATTCTGATTGGCTGACAGTGTTTTTATCGTCCATCAGCTGGAAAAGTTCATTGTGAAAGTGATTCCAACGATATTGTTCCTCTGTGCCGTTAAAGTTGTAGTGTGGACTGTGCTGTTCTTTAAAATTTTTGAATGATTTTTAAAACTACCTTTGTCCTATAATGTTATTTCTAGGGCAGCAATGTAACCTTCCAGCTCTCTGTGACATGGAGATCTCGATCAACTACAGAAAAACAGAAGTTTTGAAAACTCGCCTCTGTTTGCCACTCGTTCAGTTTCACTACCAGTGCGACCCATCTGAGCTGAGAGGAGAGCCAATCCGTTTCCCATCCACCGAGGGTCTGATCGACCAAAAACAGATCCAGTTCACTAAACGCATCCTGGACAGCATTCAGAGAGGTCTGCAGTTGGAGGTAAACCAGTATGGCATCTACGGCTTCCGTCAGGACCAGTGTAAAGTCTTCGTCAGCACCAGCGACCCATCTGAGATCCAGAACCCAGAGCCCAGGAAACTGCACCAGAACACCAGAGAGCAACTGCTCTGCTTTGATAAGTACTTCAGAGGTATGAACGATGAGAAAGGAATATTTACTAATCACGCTGAATAATCTCTAATATTATAGAGATAATTTATTAATATCAGATTAATATCAAATTTATTGTAGGGAACTCATTTTAATTATCATCTACTTTTATTACCACAAACACAATTTTCAGCTTTACCTGTTACCATGATTGTTCCCCATTACAAAAACAGAATATACGCTAAAATTGCAACATACAGGAAGTGACATCATTGAGACCTTTTCTACAGCATGGCAGGAAGACAAGTAAAAAATCTCATGCCATTTTCTCAAAAAAAAAAAAAAAATTATATTTTCTTAATTGCAGCATCCTTCAACCCTGTTACCATAGCTACTGTGCAGGGGGAAGAAATAATGTATAAACAAAACATTTATCACTAACTAAAAAAGCATTTGGTCCCAAACTAGCTAACACCTACTGAGTGACCGATTTATTTATGGGAAAGCATTGTATGCAACCCTGTTACTCAGTTTGACATTCATTTTGAAAATTTTATATTATAAAATATAAAATACATGCATAATTTAATCATTTAAAACAACTGTTAAACATCTCCTTTCACTGACAAATTGTCAACAAGAAATTTCTTGCATTTGCAACTCTGTTACCGTGATTGTTCCCCATTACAAAAACAGAATATTCACTAAAATTGTGGCATTTAGGAAGTGACATCATTTGGGCCTTTCTACAGCATGGCTGGAAGACAAGACTAAATCTCATTCCATTTTTTTCAACTTTTTCACAAATTGCATAATTGACTGCTCAGCCTTCAACCCTGTTACCATAGTTATTGTGGTAAAAAAAAAAAAAGGAAAACATGTTTATCACTAACTACAAAACCAGAATTTGGTCCCAAACTAGCTAAAACCTAATGAGTGACAAATTAAAATGTGAAAAATTTGTATGCAACCCTATTACTCAAATTGCCATTAAAAAATATTAAACTTAACGCTCACATAAAATAAATGTATAAAAATGTAAAATTATTGTGAAGCACCTCCTTTCACTGACAAATTGCTTAGAAAGAAAAAAACTTCAATTTGCAACCCTGTTACACTGATTGTTCCCCTTTAACATAGCTAGAAGACAAGAAAAAAAAATGCACCATAGTTATGCTGTTACCATAGTTATTGTGTGGGGAAAAAAAATCTTAACAAATGCTTAACAAGCTTCACATTCATGCTTTTAAAGCTTCCTGTCAACTTTCCCCATTGAAAGTGCAAGTGTTTTTTTATTTTTTATATACAAAGTTTTCTGTTTTAATGGAAAGCATGTTACAAATGCTGTCCTGATCGGTTAAAAATAGCCCAGGCACCTCAGCTGTATTGTGATGTGGTATGTGTTTCCATTTTGATTTTAAAAAATCAACTTTTTTCAGATCTGATAGATTTTATAGAGAACAGACGGGGTTCTCCGGATTACACCATCTACCTGTGCTTTGGAGAGAAGCTCCCGGATGGAAAACCACTGGAGAAGAAACTTATTACTGTCAAAGTAAATACCTTGAACAAAACAAACACATTTCGAGTGTTTTTTTTGTGTTTCAGTGTTATAACGTATCTTTTCCATTTCCACAGGTTGTACCTCTGATTTGCCGTGAACTTCATGAGAGAGCTCAAATGGAGGGAGCGTCCTCTCTTCGCAATGGAAACGTTAGCTTGCAGATCTCCCACAACAGCCTTTTTGACCTCATAAATTCTTTGGGTCTGCCTTCAGTGGCCTAAAGCATGAAATCAGTCAGCTGACATGCCTTTCCACACACTCATATATATATATATATATATATACATAAATATATATATACATAAATATAGTGAGAGATAGAATTTCAATTCGTTACTGTTATATTTATAGCGCAAACTTTCCAGAGGTGATTTCCATGGGGCATTCAGAGGTCTTGGTCACTCTACCATGTAATAGCAATCTCAAAGAAAACGGTATTGTTCAAATGACCTGAAACATTGTTTTTCCTGTTAATATTTTCTAATGAGTGCTAGAGCCTCATTTTAATATCCTGTCTTCTAGTGAAGAATCTTTCACCTTTCGCCCAAAGGGCTGCCCTTGTATTGCTTCTTGTCTGTCGCTTTATGAATGTGACGTCTAGAAAGTAAATGTACTATTATTTAAAAAACTACGGTTTGACTTTTATGTGTATCGTTTTATTGAATGACGCGGACGCCAATATCTAAAGATGAACTATGTATAAAAATGTTATGCATATAAAATTTAATAAACAAAAAATTAAATATTGTGTCAATGCACAGTGTATTTTGCACATCTTTTTTTTTAAATTTCAAGACAGTGAATAAAACACAATTATACAGCGCATTTCATGAATAAACATTTTCAAATTCCTGCTAACTAAACATTATTTCCAGAATATATGATTTATTGTACATGAATCATTCAATATTCACCCATTTTTAACTGTAAAACAAACATACCCCTTTAAGAAACATGCCAAAGGATTTTTTTTTAAAGTATTTAATAAAATTATTTACAAAGACAGCAACATGGATGCTTCAATTCACATCACGAATCATGTATTCTGTGACTGCTTGGATTCATATGATAAAGTTCAATCAGGTTAAGAGATCAGAATCAACTCTCAAGTCTGGAATCAACCCTCAGATCAACTCAATGTGATTTGCCACAGGAAAACTGGCACAGTTCTGTGCGCCTCACCATGAGATGCAACTCAAGTTACATGATCAATTCAGAAATCATACAAACATTCCTCAAGCAATTAAAATGACATAATTAGTGAAAAGGGTTCAGAAAAAAACTTCTGAAATACACTTTTAGCTATCAATGTTTCTAACGAATGCTTTTCATCGAAACTTTAGAAGCGCATAGAGAAAAGATTCATTATTTTATAGGCTGAACGTCATCTACAAACAGAAAAAAGAATCAAAACAATGGCAATCAGGAAAAACAATTGGCAAACTCAGCTGACAGGTTTTAAAATGAAAATAGTCTTTTCAACTGAACAGAAAAGATACATTACAGCCGTTCGCGTGTCATGCGAACAAAAATATTTCTCTATTTACAAAACTATTTCAACGAGGGTGAGGTCTACTGCAAGTTTTCCTGTTTTAGCAATATTAGTAAACAAAAAGCTTTTAAAAGAAATCAGTCCACCAAACTGATTCCAGAGTCTCATGAAGACTGGATATCAGAATATTTTTATTCGAATAAATACTCTTTGATGGTTTTCTGAGAGACACAGAACATCCCAGAGGATCTTCTGCATGTACGATCCTGCTAATGTTCCTCAACATAATGCTTATATTCTCATTAACCACAAAACACTTTTTTACTGTGCTCTCCAGTGTCAATTATTCATGGTGGAACGGCAGGTTCAAGAGTATTGTGTTTGTGTGTATATATGATGCATACATATACGCAAACATGTCATTTTTTAGTCTGACAATGCAAGAGCCTGTTTAACAACTTACACTTCCTGTTGGATCATCAGCTTAAAATAGCATGGTATTCAACACTCTTGAAGAGGGTGCTGCTTTGAACAATGGCAAACTTAAAGATTTTTCAACCCATTCTGTATCTGGACACTCCCAGATACTTTCAAATGATCTTTACATTCAGAAGAAAACATACAAACATTCAAAAAGGTTCATTTGACAACTGATGACAAGATGACGAGCCCTTAAGAGTTTCCCATGGCATTGTAGAAATGCACAGATTTAAAAAAAAAACAAACAATGAAATCTACTGTTGATCGCTATAAGATACCATCTGAAATGTAGCTGTTACCCTCTGCCTCACATTGGAGTTTGGGAGTCTGTGTGTTGGCTTTGCACAGTTTCCTCTTTCTTGTGTTTTTTTGCATGTTTGTACTTATCCACGTAGGCTTTGACCAGGTTGGCTACTTTCACCGGGTTAATCTCACCGCTCTTGCTATGACACACCTTGAGAATGGGGCAAACAAGACATGAATGGGGTCAGTTTAGAAACATGACAATGCTTTCATAATTCATTGAAGAAATGGGCCATTGGAGTGGAGGAAAACAAATAGTATTTACATATGCAAATGTGCTGGTCAGGTGTTTACTTCGGGTCTAACATGCCATACAAGGAAGTGGATATGGAAAAACAACCACAAAAGCAAACACCTGACGTCACGCAATTACCTTCTGAACGGCTTTCCTCAGAATCTCCTTGTACTCTTCCTTTGTGATGTCTCTCTTCTGGTAGAAGGGCTTTATGGCCAGTTTGACCTCCTCTATTGCTCGCTCTTGCATATGAAGTTTCTTTATATACTACAGAAAGACAAACAATGTTTAAAAATTCATGACATCAAGACAATGCCACGAATTATGAGATAACGATATGATGTAATCGTGCTCTGGTCACCTTGTCTTTTTGATTGGGGTCCTGTAAAATGTCATCTTGGGGAGGTAGGCTGGAGACTGATGCCATAAGTTTTGATTCAGCCTGAGATAAAGCTTTATCCTTTAATATGGAATAATATGGGATTATTGTAGTACTGAAGCACCATTAACAGCACTCTAACTGCCCACGATAATGAAAATTCCCTGAAAACGTTTAAAAGATTTATGAGGCGTCTCAACTTCCTGTCATCCTCTGGGATTTCCCTTTGCTGAAGGGAATGTGAAGTCATAATTTATCAAGCACAAATTTGTTGCACCTTAATGATTGTTTTTTTTATTTTAAGCAATTATACTTTAGCTGATGAATGCAAAACATCACAGAAACATTTAGTGTCAACTGCTGAAAATTCACATGACATGACCCTGATTAATTGTGATAAACTTGTTTTTGTCTGGGACACTCCTTGTGAAAGGAGGATGCAATTTCCAAGAGTAATGCTAACTTTAATTTCTTCTGAAGTGAAGCCTTATTTGGCTGCTTTCAGTTTCGATCACATGGGTACAACAGAAATTGCATCAGCATTATTTTCACCTCCTTGAGAAAGCGAGCTGCAAATTGTGAATGCAAAGAGTGACATGACGACACCCTCTGGTTGCTTGAAGCAACTACATATGACGGGCAATAATTATGATGTTCACTGGTATCTAAAAACATTTTTATTAAGAGTGGAGAAATTTCAAATGACAATCTCATATTGATTTTTGTGTTATCAAAATTCAAAGGTTTGTTCATGAGGCTCAATTTATGTAACCCACAGAAGTTTCTTCAGTTAGAAAGAGTTTTGCAATTATTTACTATAATTGTCCTAAAACAGCATGTCTGTATGTGGCACACAAAAAATATTTTGAAAAACGTCAGTTTTTTAAAACACACAATGAAAAGTCAATGTGGTTTACATTGGACATCAATGTTCTTCAAGGTATCTGCTGTCTTCCAAAGAATAAAGTCAAGCAAGTGTGAGCCTCAAGTTCAACAAATACAAGATTAAGAAAACTGACTGTTTTAATTGGGTGGATGGGTGGGATCTATCCCTTTAAGACACTGCAAGAAAGACAAAGTATAAGGGTCTGTTGTACCTGATTTTGTGGGGTTGTAGCAGACCTTCGCGACCCTTCTTGCTTGAATTTTAATTTGAAGAGTGCAAGTTCTAAAAGAGGCACGGGAAAACATTCAGAATATTTTACTAGTTTTCAAAATCATTTTAGCTTTATGTTGCCTGAATGCTTCACACCAAATCTGATGTGACTGAAGTCAATTACTTATCTCAATACTTGCAGAGTTCGTTACAGACCAGGGGTGTCCAATCCTGCTCCTGAAGGGCCACTGACCTGCACAGTTCAGCTCCAACCCCAATTAAACACAGCTGAGCCAGTGTTAAACCTCAAATGCTGGCTCTCTTTTCAAAGGCTGAATTTGTCAGGAGGCTAAACTTCCCAGACAAGTGTGTTGGGGCAAGTTGGAGCTTAACCAGGGGTGTCCAAACCTGTTCCTGGAGAGCCACTATCCTGCAACCCTAATAAAACACATCTGAACCAGCTAATCAAGGTCCTCAGATTCTCAAGAAACTTTCAGGCAAGTGTGTGGGAGCTGAACTCTGTGGGACACTGGATTGGACACCCCTGGTCTGTAACGAACTCGGCACCTACTGAAAGTTGAATCTTAAATTCAGACTTGGTGTGGATAGGGAGCAAAACTAAATGGGAAAAGTCAAATGTTTACTCACTGCTTAATTTCTCAGACTGGGGTTCTGCTGGTTCCTGCAGATTCCAAGTAACTCGTTTTCCCTGCGATTTAGACTTTGCACCAGCCGTAACCGTTTCCGTTGTTTGCTTGTTCCCTGCTGGAGTCTCTGGAATGGCAGACTTGGGGTCGACAGCTTCTGTTGAGTCGGCCACAGAGCTCTCACTCATTTCCTTCTTAATGAAGTCCAAATTATCAATCAAGTAATCAACACTGATATCTTCATCGGAGGAAATACCAAGTTCTTGTTTTATTGGAGGATCTGGCAGTTGGAGAGGTGGCATCTCCATGTCCTCCTCCAAAAGTGGCGAATGATAAGACTCAGTGGGCTCCTTTATACAGTTCACTGCATCTATGGCAGGCGTATCCAAATTGATGACAAGAGGGTTGTCACTGCAGCTTGGTGAATCATCTTCATCAGGCCATATATTTTCAATTTTTATCTTTTTTGGCTCAATCACCATTTCTTGTACTTTCATCTCATCCTGTAAGCTAGCGTGGCTCTTCTCTAAATCAGCACTGCCTGATTTAATTTCATTAACATATGGTGATTCCAGGCTGAAGATGTCTAAAGATGTCATCTCTTCTTTCTTTATCTTTTTAACGCCATCTAATTC